AAAAAATAATTAAAATATAAATACAATATTTCTTCATTTCCTTTTCTTTCCTTCTTTACCTTCCTTCAATCCCTCCCATGTTCCCCCAACTTTGTCTCAAATGGATGACTTCTTTTTTTTTGATTACTGTTGTTATAGACACATATACTATATGTATATATGTGTGTGGTAAACACACACATATAACCTGTTAAGTCTCCTTAATGTTGTTGTGTGTATATGATTTTAGGGCTGACTACTTCATAGTGAATACCAATTAGTGGGCACACACCTATGAAAAACTAATTTTCACTCTCTTAATTGTCATTAGTAGCCTATAGTTCTTTGTCTAGAGGAAGGGTTTCACGTCAGCATGTGTTTTCAGGTCTTGCTTAGGTAGTTATATTGATGAAGTACCATGGATGTATATTCCCTGTCATCTCTAAGAGATCTCACAGGAGGATTTGAGGCCCTCTCACTTTTACATTCTTTCAGCCCCTTCTTCTGAGATGTTCCCAGAGACTTAGGTGTGAGAATTGTGTTGGAGATGTGTCCATAGGGCTGGGTACACCACAATCAGTTGTCCTCTGCGTTTTGACCAGTTGTTTTCTGTAATGGTTGTTGTCTGCTTCAAAGAGATACTTCTTTGATGAGGGCTGAGAGGTGCAACTATTGGTGTGTGTAAGGATAAGTTTTAGAACACAGTCAAGAATTATGTTCATCTAGTAAAGTGGTTTTAGTGGGTTCTTCTCTAAGATTCATGACCTCAGTACCAGGATTACTTGGCTAGGTTTCTGGTACCAAGCATGTTTTCCCTTCTACTGAACAGACCTTAAATCCAGTTAAATAGGTGCTGGCTACCACCAAAATATGAGTGACACTATGGAACCTTTAAGAACAGCTTGCCACGCTATTCATTGTTGTGGTTCATAAGCATCACATGGGTAAGAATATTGATTGCTTCCCTCCTTTGGTAGCTTGTGGGGTACCTTATGACACCATGAAAGCTAGACCTCAGGGAGGCAGCTTTCAGGTTAAACCCAGTCTAACTTTCCAAGTACTGTGACTGAAGTATGTGCTGTCTTCCACAATAGTAATATACCTTCAATCTCAGGGAAATAACCTAGGGCAATAGCAGTGACTTACGTTATTTGGGGAATCTCTGGATCTACCTTGCCCAGCAACTTGAAGTTTCTTGTGGCTAGTTTGGTGGTTCAGACTTTAACCACAGCACTTGAGGAGCAGAGGCAGGTAGATCTCTATTAGCCAGATTACCTTTGCCTACATAGTAAGTTCCAGGCCAGTCAAGGCTATATAGTGAGACCCCGCCTTAAACAACAACAGCAACAATAACAGCAGCAACAATAGCAATAGCAACAATAGCAACAACAACAAAACCCTCTTCATGTCAGGTTGAGATGTCCTCCCCACTACATGGACCCCCATAGCACTCTTCCCTATTTATATTTGTAAGGAATCTTTCCCCCACTAAATAATTTTTCCTTTAGCATATGAACCTTGACTTATTCATAGACAATGCCTGGCAGCTAGAAGGTCCCTATAGTATTTGTTGATTGAGCAAAAGAATCAATTTGAGTAAGCCAGTCACAGAACAACAACTGGTAACCGTTGCAGTCCAACTCATACAATCAGAGGACACGACAGTGTTTTCCAGAGGCCAAAGGGAGTAGTAAACTTTTTCAATTGGTATTCACTGATATGTGTCAAGTAAGTTCTAATGTATGGCGACAAAGCATAGTACTTATAGTTAATTAGCAGCACTGTAAATTGGAGTAAGTTCAAGATCTGTTAAGTAGGGAGAATGCATGCTAAGTTTTTTCTCACTATAAAAACAGTCTCAGAGGAGCTCTTGAGAGGTGTTGGGTATGTCCATTCCCCTGACTGCACAAACTGCTCAAATGGCACACAACAAGGATTTTCAATTTTTGGTGTACCAATTATGCCTCCACAAAGATGCTTTATCAATCTGAATTGTTGGATTTGTTCCTAGTAAATGGAACATTTTCATTACTGCCTTTGAAATGCATGGAGGCATCCATCCATTCGCTCAACTGAAGCCTCACTTGAGAGCTAAGTGGCAATAGCTTTAAAGGAGAACATTGTTGTTTTCTGGAATACACAGGAAAATCCTATGGAATATATAGACAAAGACTCATCTTGGGCTTTCCCTATCTTTACCACAGGGCGTGCCCCTTCCCGGGGGGATTTGCATTTGCTATCTGTCTCAGCAACCCACAATCAGTGGCTAACCTTACAAGGTTCTAAAGAGACTGAGACGATTCTTCACGCTCTTGTGAGAGTGCCAGAATTCACATCCTCCACCCTACTCCAGTGTCTAGTTCTTAGGTAATGCAAAACAACATGGGGATGACTAGTTTTCGAGCCTTATTTAGACGAGCATGGCTTGTAGAGCATGAGCTCAGCCTTAGGCCCACTAATGACATGCCAATTTGCTCAACGCTCCTCTAAAAATGACTTAGCTATTTTTCTATCTTAGGAACTGAGTAGGACATTTAAAAAAAATCCCAAACTCAAATTCTTGTTGAAATCTTGATGTCTCTCTAAGCAAAAATAACCTTTTTTTCTGGATTCAAAGGTCAGAAACACTATTAGAAAAAAAAAATAACAACTTTTCAAGGAGGATTCAAATTCAGCCAACCAGGGGGCAAAATCAACATCACTTTGATGCAGATGTGGTGCTGCCCAAGAAGTAGAGCTCCAGCATAAGACAGCCCTTTTCTTCTGTGACAGGTTGGAACCTGACAACTTCTTATTTTATTGAGAAGGTCAGGTGCTTAGGTAATCATATGATATTTATCAATCTATAGGAGCTGTGGAAATGTTATCATTTACCCTGACAAGCTGATACCATGCATGTAAAGATAGGATTGTAAAATAATACTTTATGAATAAGTATATCACTTTTTTATCTTTGTGTGCTTATAAATGTGTATTTGTGTGTGTGTGTGTGTGTGTGTGTGTGTGTGTGTGTGTGTGTGTGTGTTTGCAGTTATATATGTGCCTAGAAGTTATGGACCACTCCACTGTTAATATTTACCTTCCACCTTGTTTGAGAGTCCTTCGTCCGCAGACACCAGGCTAGGTTGTCTGCAAGTGTCTGCAGATCCTCCCATCTTCACTTCCCATCTTGTTTTAGGAGTGCAGGGATTAGGAACGTGCCTGATGCCATGCCCAACTGCAACATGATTCTGGGGATCTGACCTCACGTCTTGATATTTGCATGGCAAATATTTTCCTCACTGAGCCATTTCTCTAGCTGGGAGATCATTTCTCCCATTCAAGTGCTAACTAGGTCTGACCCTCCTTAGCTCCCTAGATCAGAAGAGACCTGGCACCCTACAGACCAGAAACAGAAGCCCAATCTAATTCCAAACAAGCAGTTTCACAGAATGGAAGAAACCTTGTCCACAGTCATCTATAATGTCTGGTGTCACCCATCTCAGGCATCCTCTTCAAGGGCACAGCCTCTTTGTCTTTATGTTCTAAGAGCAATGGGTTTGACATAGGTAGGTAAAATGAGGTACACTTCTGCTTCTTTAAATATCACACAGCCGTGATAACAGGAAAAACTAATATGAAATATGGGGGGAGGGAAAGATTAGTTTGCAAATGCTGTCTTACGCTGATATCTGTGGTCAAAACCTTTGAACCTCTACTGCCCAAAGAACAATGGCAGCTATTGTTAGCATCCTGTGTTCTTTCCCTGAGAGCCTTCCTTCTTTCTCCACAGCGTCAAACACTGGTGACTAGGACCTCTCTCGGCCTTGTCCATTTCCCCTTCAGTGGAACCACATCCCCCAAATAACCTGCCCCTTCTTCACCAACGGTGATTCACCCGCCCCATACCCATCCACTCCTGGACCGTGAGTAATCTTCCTTCTGTCTGGGGGTACATTCCCTTCTTGTGTCCCACTCAAAACTCTGCCAGCTCTTCAAAACAAATGTTTCTCATGAAACCCTAACATATGCCATTCCCATTTAATTTCAAGTATGCCCATCTTATCTTCTAAACTCTTTACACAATAGCTCTGTGTTTATGCTGTCTGACCACGACAGTGAGGGACAACGGTGGCTCCCCCAGAGCCACCCCAGGACTCACCCAGACACCAAATTCCTAGCACAAATGAGATTTAGTACCCTGGAGGGAGAAGGGGGAGGGGAGTGGTGTATAAAGACAAACAGCAAACACCAAGCAGGTGGAGTGTTTTTTTTTTTGTTTGTTTGTTTTTCTGTAGGAGTGGGTTTTTCAGGAGGAAGAAGAAGGGGAGTCTGTGCTGGAGTGAGTTGGTAAAAATCCTGATTGGACATATTAGGCCAATAATGAATTTTGATTGTCTGTCCTTGGTGTTTTGTCTCAGTAATGAGTCAGTGGCCAAATAAGGGAATGGACCTTGGGGTCTAGCTTTAGGAATGTAACAGCTTTTAGCAAGGGAGAGGGAAAGGGGTAAAGAGGCAAAACCCGTCGGCACCATATTTACCACACTAGGGCCTGTTAGAGAGCCCTTCAACGACATTTATGAATCTTTCTGGAAAGCACGGAACAGGCTAGAGAAAACGCTGAGGAAGAGATCAGATAAGAGGTGAGGAGCATACACAGACACACAACAGATGCATGGGGACAAGGGAGAGGGCTCTGCATTGCAGGCACCTGAGGACACTTACGTCCTCCCAAGTGACTTGACTTTCAGGCTCCTGGAATGAATTGTGTTTTGTGAATCCAGTTGTCTCTGCTAAGCAAGGGGGGACTGTAGGATGGCTAGCCTTTACAATCATAAAATTTTCCTGGGCAACGACCTTGGCAGCTGTTTTGACACAGCACCGAGAACGACCACTCTCTAATAACTCAGCAATATATTTTATTGAAGACAGGGGAACCTATGGTTTTTCAGACAGTGTTTTAAGTGCTTCATGCATTATTATTATTATTATTATTATTATTATTTGTTATTATTATTATTATTGGCAGAGAAGTTGCAAAAGATGAGCACTGACATTATCTTCTCCATTTTCAAGCTAGAGAAATGGAAGCACAAAGAAATAGGACGGAGCTATTGAACGAGTGAGCCAGGCTGCAGAAGCAAGCAGTCTAGCTTCATAGCCTGAATTCATGAGCCCTACATCATATGCTTCTGGGTCTACCAAGTCCCCAGACAGCTGGATTCCACAGGCAGCTCCACTGCCAGGTCTCTGTCCCACGTTGTCCAAGCCTTTTCTCACACCTATTGGTTTAAGAACAAAATGTAAGAGGTCACACATATATAAAAAAATCCCCTCTTCTACACCCCCCCCCCATCTTGCTGTTGGAACTTCTGCTTTTCTGTTCTTTCATCTCCCCTACAGTTAACAGCCACTAGAGCAAGGGCCAAGCTTCCTACAAACACAAGCCGCGGTAAGTACCAAGCTGTTAGGACTCCAAGAAGCTCCTGAATCAGTCACTGTTTGCTGCTTCCTCTAACAAATATCTCTTTGAGATTCTCGAGTGACTCAGTCACACATCCCACACCTGCCGGGTAGAATCAACTACCCCAATCTCTGAGCTGCCAGGAAGCACACAATTCCAAAGGGTAAAAACCAGCTCCGGACCAGGCTGGAGTAAGGATGCACTCGGGAGTTGAAAACAACCCTCATTTATAAAACGTGGAAAATTCGGTAGCCTGGAGAGGAACCCTGGAAAGATAAATATTGAAGTAGGAGAACGGATGACGCAACAAGGTCGCTATTAACCAGCATACAAACTTCTCTTTAGAAGTGAATAGCTGGGGGCTGGAGAGGTGGTTCAGCGGTTAAGAGTGCTTCCTGGTCTTCCAGAAGACCCGGGTTCTGTTCCCAGCAATCCTGTCAGGTCCCTCACAACTGTATGCAAAACTCCAGTGCCAAGAAATCTGAAACCCTTAGCCTCCTCCAGAACCCCTACACACATGTGGCACAACGTTCTTCAGACACAGTGTCTTCCACGCACAGCAGGATGCTGCTGTTCACATATGAACTCCCAGAACGATGGGACCACAAAAGACCTGAACAGGTTCAAACCAGACAAATACCAGCCCTGAAAAGCAAAAGCAGACACATAGACATGCCCCTAATCAAGAAGCTTTTGTCATTGATAGCCATGGGGAAAGGGAAAATCAGTTTTCTTCAGTGGAATGTCACTGGGTATATCAGCCACACTCCACAGCAGACCTAATACCTAGGAGTAGTTGCTCAACACAAAACAATCTCCATGGTTTTTTGAGTATTTTGTTTTGTTATTTTTTTTTGTCTTATTGATTTTTTTGTTTCTTTTTCTCTTGAGACAGAGAAAGAGAGAACATAACGTTGGGTGGCTGAGGAGGTGGGGAAAATCTGGGGGAAGTTGGGGAGGGGAAGGAATATGATAAAAATATTTTGTATAATTTTTTTAAAAATCATAAGTGCATTATATAGGTGTATGAATTTCTTAAGGAATTAAAAAATAAAGAAAATTATAAGCCCCCAAACCCTCTAAACAACAAAAATTCTCATCTCATTCCAAATCAATTTCCCCTCTGGATCACAGGCTGTGAACATTTTTTGAAACTGAATGAGAAGTTGGTATGAGCCTACATACATTTTTTTTTTTTTTCTGGGCTGGAGACCTCTCATTTTCAGACTTTATCTTGCTAAGAAAACATTTTTGCCACAAACTGACTAAAGTTGAAACAAATACTTCAGCCTTTGTGAACCCAGTCTTTGGTCCCTCTGTGCAAAATGCTCCCAAGTGGCTGAGAAGGCGAAGTATTCCTTTGTCTTTTTTGGAACCCACCCCAGCAAGAGAAGTGACCTGCCTTTTGGGAGAAGAATGCCACGCCCAGATAACACTTACCAGACACCAGGAGGTGACCTTGACTCTTCTCGGGTTCCCCTCTGCTCACATTCCTAGTCCTCAAGCAGTGCCTTGTGGTGCCAGAGCAATATGAACCATCACAGGAGATTTCACTGGGTCTGAGGAGGAGTGGTAATGACAGAGATTGGTGTGCTTTTCATTTGTGCATTGCTTATAGTCGTCCAAGCCAACCCCCATCTTCCTGTCTTTCCCAGACCATAGCCTGGGCTATTTTCTGCTCACAAATCGCTTCCTGCTCACTTCTCTGTTGCCCTCCATTCCTCCTTCCGTTCTCTTCCCCAACCCTCTCCCTGTCGATCCTACGTAGCCCAGGTTGATCTGGAAATTGGAATTGTTCTGCCAGAGCCTCCAGAGCGCTGGAATCACGGGCTTGTTCCACCATGCCCCGCTTGGCTTTTACGACCATCATACATTTTAAAACTCTCAATTACAAGCGCTCTGACCTTGTGTGCACTCTAGTCGGGTTGAACTACTCTCTGCAAGGATGGCATTTGATTTATTTGTGATGTCTACTCCTCCAGGAAGAAACTACATGTCTAAGAGCCAGTCAGTCAGTCTTGCAATACCACATGCTTTGTTTCTTACTGATACTAAGTGGGCCCTTGTTGTGGAAATTATGGTTATTAAATTATACATTTTTAGAAGGGGAAATATTGTCTACAAGAGACAAAAGTTGATGTTAAAAGTCAAAGAGGGTTAAAAACCAGTCGGAGGCAACCTCCTGACTGCAACGATAAGATATGAGCATCTGAACCCGGCAAATCTTGTTCCCTAGTATTTAAGTGTCTCAATCTCTACCAACCAAGCTAGCCAGGCAGCCTACTCCTTAGTATTTATTGCATTAAGTTAAATGAACATTTTCTTCTATGTGGGTAATAGCAGCCAAAAATATGGTAAACACTGGCTTAAAGCACTTTCATATCTCCTAAGCCTGTGTCCAAATACAGAATGCATTCACCCCCCGCACCGCCGCCGCCACCCCGCCTCTTTATTTTTTAAAATCACTACTTGAGGCTTGATTTTCAACTGTCCAGGATTCTATTCCGATTCTAGAAATACCGGTTTGTTGAGTGGAGGCACTGTACTTACATTCTTCTACTGGATCTTGTTACATTTGAATCATTTCATCCCTTTTGCATAACTTTCCAGTAGAGGAAAGTTCTAACTTCATCAAAGTTACTAACTCACATGGGGTCACAATTTGGGAACTGATTGCTAATAAGTATATGTGAATCTGCACATCTATCTAATAAGAGAAGCTAATCTTTACTTACTTCTAACTCTTGGGTGCTCCGAAGATATTCCAAACACTTTGAGGTTCTGTATAATGAAATTAATTGAATTTCAGCTTAAAAAAAAAAAAAACCTTTCCATCTAGTAAAGGCAGCAGAGATAATGAGAAACATAGACTCTGAAATTAGACTGTGCGGCCCCAAGTCTAGCTGCTGACAGTCTGTAAGTTAGCTAACTGCTCTAGACATACTCTTATCATCACAGAAAATCAAACAACAGTATCCATGTCAGTGTGTTACATGTGAAATACTCCTGCAGCATTTACACACTGTGAGCATTCAAGATGCTATTATTGTTAGGAAAAACAATAAATACAATGTATATAGAAAATATATAGATACTTTAAAAAGGTCCTAGATCTTCACCTCTTTGTATATCTTTCTATTATTTTGCTTTGTTTATTCTTGGTTTGTTTGTTGTGTTGGGAGCAGAACTCAAAGCCACATGAATGCTAAGCAAATGCTTTACTGTTGAGCTGTATTCCCAACCTGTCTTAGTGTTTTTGTTGTTGTTATTGTTGTTGTTTTTTAAATTGGCAAGTAAAAATTATATGCATTTATATTGTACCATGTAATGTCTTAATACATATTTGCACTGTATAATAGCCAAATCAAACTAAGCTTGTCTAGCTCTTCAAACATCTATTAGTTCTTGGGGATGAAAACACTCAGAGTACTTTTTGGTAAGCTAGTGTATCAGCTGCTCACTTTTGTATTTAGTTTTCAAAGGCCCTTCTGTCCATTTTGAATGTTAATTAAAAGTAGGATCAAGGAAGTTAACTGTCATTGACAGCTAGAGAAACTTTAGAGTGCTTTAGGATTCATAAACTGTTACAAGATTTGGTACTGTTAGAATCCTGATGCAGTATGTACAGATTTATTTAATGACTAGAATATCCATTTTCAAAATCAAAAACTCAGAGGCTGGAAACACTGAGAGACTCATAGTGACTTCACCGAAGACATTTTGGTTATAAATGATGGAGCTGGAACTCATTTCTCCAACTCTCAGGACCTGAGGGTTTAATGAGGTTAGTCCTGGTGTTGGCTACCCAGTGGTCCTTCTGCTTCATGTTTTACATTTCTATCACAGGAAGTAATCTTTGTGCCTGTGCATTGAACAAGTTCACTCAGGATTAGGATGTGTCAGTAGCTTGTCACTGTCTGTGGAAGAAGTGGCCAAAGTTTGAGTTGAGAGACAGGTTTTGAATATCCAGTAGATACCAAGTAAGCATTTTCTGAATAAATTAGCAGTGCTTTTATGCTTAGATGGACTTTATCTTCTGTTTTGCTTATAGTGTCTATTCATTGTCTATTCTTTTACTAGTTTCTCTTCTTGTTCTTATGACAAAAAACTTGATACAAAGCAATTTAAGAAAGGAAAGATTTGTTGTGACTCATAGTTTGGAGACACAGTTGGTCATGGGCAGGAAGTCATGACAGCAGGAATGAGCAAGCTGGTCACCATGTGCTCATGATCAGTGAGCAAAGAGAGATCAGTGCTCAGCTCAATTTCTCCTTCGTATCCAGTCAGAGATCTCAGTCCATAGGATGCTGTACTCACCTGCAAGGTAGGCTTCCCTCCGCAGGCAAACCTTTCTGGAAATATCTTCATAGAGACATTCAGAGGTATGCTTCCATGGTAATTCTGAATCTAGTCAGAATGTCAAGGAAGATTATCCACCATACCTCTTTAACTCAATATTTACATAAAAGAATTCCTTTAGGTTCAAGTTTTTATAGACAAACCCTTGCTTGGAGAAGTAATTCAGCCTTGTAGATTAATTTCTCTAAGAACTATCTCATCCAAGCCTCTGCTTCACGAGGTTAGATTTAGTTAAGGGAGGTTTTTTTCCCAGACAGAAGCAGCCAATTGCCCATTAACAAAATAGTTCTAAGGGTTCCCACCTACCTTATGTCCATTAGGTAGGCACAGACAAATTTCGCAGACAATAAGAATTGTTAAATTAATATGAGCAATGACCAGATCTCTGCAAGGATGTTGGGCAGGAACCCTGGATAAACATGTTTCTTACACGCTGTTCTTACAAATATTTGTTTGTTCAGAAGCCTTGGGGTGAATGTTTGTTTGAAAAACACACCACTGTTTAATTAAGGAACCAATTCTTGGGACTGTGTCGCTACTACAATGAATATGTGGGTTTCAAGAAACTCCAGTTGAAGTAATTGCAATGATTATCAGTAAAGGTCACACATTTTGTCAGCAAGAAGTCATACCTCTTTAGCTGATTGGAACAGAGCTCTGCGTTACGGACTGCTGACATTTTTGGTCCTGATTCCATAATGTGCATCTACAGAGACACTATGAATTTGGCAATGATTTGTAGCTTGACAGCACTTCCTTTTATGTGTCTATGCTAGGCTGGATGGTCCTCAGAGTTTGGCAGGGTGTGAAACAGAAAAGTATGACCCACAGAAACTATAATGGTCCTGTCTGCTCTTCTAGGCTGAATGTCATACCCTCTTTCCAAATTCTTATTTTGAATCTAACCACCCCCAGTGGAATGATATTAGACAAAGGAGTACTGGCCGAGGTGAGGATGGCAAATCATGAGACGGAATTCACATAGGTAGGATTTGGGTCCTGATAAAAGAGAAACAAAGAGGAAGCTCTCTCACCCTCTTCTGCTGTGTGAGGCTTCAAAGGACAAGCCAGCAGTTTGAAGCCCAGGACCCTCACCAGCCTCAAACCTGGATAACATATTCTTCAGATTTGCAGCCTCCAGAATGATAAAAAGCACATTTCCATTGCTTATGAACCACTCACTTGGTGCTATGCTGTTGTGGACACCTGAGTTAAGTAAGATACACTTCTAAGCTTTAAACCCTGTGAAGCTCCTGGTGGCTCTTTAGAGAAAGACTAAACTCAATTAAACTTTCTGCCCTGGGCCACTCACCTCTTTAGCCTTCCATTCCTTTTAATGTCTTGCTCTCCATGCATCAGCCACACTTGCGTTTCAGTTCCTTCAAGTCACAGTTCACATCCTCCTACCTAGAGGCTACTGCCCTGTCCTCCCCACCATGCAGTGTTCTTTCTCCAAGACCTTCACTGCCTTCTCACCACCTGATAGCAAGCTCAGTTTTCAGAGCTTGACTTTAAAGTCACTCAAGGTCAAAGGTCCCCTTTGCAATGTATTTCTTCCCACTTGGCACATAGCCTTGATTACACCTCTCTGGGATTAACTGGATTAAATTTAATTTCCATAAAAAGCATTATTTCGATGTACAAGTCACACAAACTTTGAACCACCCCAGGGTAGTAGCTACTTATCTGTAACCCAACACTTAAGAGCAGAGCCTAGATCAACTAGAGACCAACTCCATCAAAAAGGACCTCAGTTGAAGTTTTCTTTTCATATAATACTTTGTATATAAATGAATAACAAAACTACAAAAAAAACCCACAAAGTTCCCATCCAATTCTTAACCTGCTATACAATACCTTTAAAGTCAGAAAATTGAAGTTTAAAACATTGTTAGTGAAGACACTAGCAAACATGAATGAAACGATCAGATCAGTAACCTGTCAGCACTATGATTTTCTTTCTGTCCCCGTTTCAGAATGAAGGGTTTTCTTCATAACAGGGAAATAACAAGGAATACATTCTTCCTCTTCAAGCGAATATCCTTTTATACACATACATTCAAAATGATTATTCTTGATTTTCAGTGTAGGAGGCTTAAGCACACAATGACAACTGATCAGTCCCTCAGAGTTCTTGACACCTCAGAGCGTGACTTCTCTCTCAGATCACTGAAATCAATCATTGCCTGGGTTTCAGCTATTCTGATTATGGTGATGGTTATAAATGACCTTTTGTATCAGGTGCTGAGCTGCTGTGTTGAAAAGATGAATTGCTTCCCTATGGGAAGCACCCAGTATTCAGGCATCATTTTTTCTAAGTGTTAGAAGTGACTGGTATGGAGGGACAATGTTACTGGGGATAATCAGCAACATGGGCAGTGAAAATGTTTTCATATAGGACTTGATTCAAATATCTCAGGAGAGAGAATTTACAATATGTGCAAAGAGGTCTTGCCTAGAACGCTAGCATCATGCATACCTGGTGCCCAGAAACAGAGGCTAAATTTACAGGACTCTGATTACTATACCAATGGCCTCTGCCTGTGAGGGACCTCTCTGTCACAGGAAGATGAATGTAGTCTTCTAGGTTACTGTTCAAATGTGTCCCCTCGGGATTAGTGCATACCTCCAGGTCCGTTCCAATTAATTCTTCAGATGAAGTGGAGTTTCGAGTGTTCAGGACCTGCTATCCACAGTGGAAGATCACTTGGGAATATCCCAGGGGGTCGGTCAGATTGGTCTAGGAACATAACAAATGAAATGACCAATAACTCACAGTCTCTGTCCATTTCCTGCTGGCAAGTGATTAATGAACAGCCCACAGTCAAAGTCTGAGATACATAGTCAATACCTGGTCTATTTTGTGATTCAAGATAAATGATGCTCCAATTTGTATCAAGTGACAAATGATAACCAAATTAGCATCACCATTTCAGCTAATTACCTTATTCCCATAGCCACCACTACCATGCCTTTTTTTACTGAATAGTTACAGGGAGCCAGAGTCTGAGCTGTAAATTTCAGGGAATACTACAGGAAAACATGGGATTCTTGTCCTCAGGAGTATAAATTCACCTTGCACTCTTATAAGTTTCCCAAGGACCTCAAATAACACTTAAAACTTAATGCAAACCAGAAGCGATGACACAAGCCTGTTAGGATGTAGAGGCAATAGGATCCAGAGTTAAAGGCTAACTATGCCTATGTAGGAAGTGCAAGACAATTTGGACTACAGGAAACTGTCTAAAATTAAATAAATAACACACACACACGTGCAAGTAGACATATAAAACTTAATGAAAACTGTGTGATACTCTTCTGAGTGTTTTTTTCTGCTTTATCCATTCCTCATAAATCCCTAAGGAGTACCAATTTGCAGACTTATTGTTGCTCTATATAGATAAAGAAATACAAATGTCTTAGGTCATTTGTCTGAGGTTGCTGAAGTAGGAAGGTGTGGAACTAAGGCTTAAAGTTAGGGATCTGGACTACAGGATTCATATGTTTTTCCATAGATCAATCACAATTGGAGTTGAAGCCAGGCATGGTGGTGAAGACCACAGGCCTTGCACTCAGTAGGTTGAGGTGTGGGGTAAGGGATGGTTATGACTTCCAGGCCAGCTGGGCCACACTACCTAGATGACGATGATGATGATGATGATGATGATCCAGAACTCATAGGTTGGGGAGATAGCCCAGTCAGTAAAGTGCTGGCAATACAAGCCCCAGGACATGAGTTTCATTTCACAGAACCCAAGTTAAAATTCAGATGTGGTGGTGCATGCCCAGGATTCTAGCACTGTGGTGGTAGAGACTCTCATGATACCCCAAACTCACACTTGGCTAAATTCGATGTTGGTTAGCCTGAGGGATTCTTTTGTCTCCACCACCTAAGTGCTGGGAAAATAGCACTTTGATCCCGGGCTTGGCAGATAGAGGCAGAGGCAGATCTCTGTGAATTCAAGGCCAGCCTGGTATACAGAGTGAGTTCCAGGACAGGCAGGGCTATATAGAGAGAACATGTCTCAAAAAAAAATCTCTGGTTTTCACACACACACACACACACACACACACACACACACACACACACCACAAACCCTGGCTTTTGCAAATATTTCCTATGGGCACTAATTTACTTTGCACCCATTCTTTTATTTAATGATCACAACTAAGTGAAAGTGGGCTGTATTTAATGTGACTTAAAATGTTTCTATTTGCTGTCTTCTTCTACAATACCAGGGTTTTTTTTTGTTGTTGTTGTTATTGATGATGATGATGATGTTGATGTGAAAGTAGAAACAGGCTTAGAAAGACATGAATCTTTTTATAATTGACATTTCAGAATGCAATTCTTTTTTGGAGAGTAAGGGGGGAATAAGGGTGTTTACTTCAATTTATAATTCCAGGTTAAAATACATCATTGTGGAAAAGTCAGGGCAGGAACTTCAAACTAGTCACATCATATCCATAGTCAAGAACTGAGAGAAAAGAATGCATACATACATACTTGCTTGCTTGTACTCATCTTTATTTCTCTACTTTTATACAGTTCAGGATACCCTAACTAGGGAATGGTTCTGCCCACAGTGGACTGACTCTTCCCACATCCATTTATCAAGACAGTGCCCTACAGTCAGGCCGACAAGCCAGTTCAATGAAGCTAATCAATCCCTCATTGAGACTCTTTTTCCAAGTGATTGTAGTTTATGTCACTCCTACATATTGACATCATGTTACATTTTGAGAAACATGCTTTCAGCTCATATCCCAGACTACTATCTCCTAATCAGAAATAATAGTCCTGACATTAAACACGGGGCTTGAAACTTAACATTTGGATTTACTTGGATCTTACGGTAAGTTTTAAGTGTTGGTATCTCCCGTTTCAGAAGCAGAAACTAAAGCAACAGTGGCTGGTGTAGAATCATGCAACTTTTTGCCTTCCTGCATGGTGTGTTCATGGAGTGAACTCCTTCACGGTAAGAAACCAGCAACGTGTATGTTTCTGCCAAGAATTATTTGTTTGGTCTGTGGATCTGCTTTTAACTCATGGTAGGATAAGATCCATCCTGCTGTGAAGAGGTGGACGCCCTGATTGCTGTTGACAGAAGAATTTGCCCTACTCAGGAGACATCTTACTAACCCTGCCCCTGATAAGGAAGCCAGTTCTTCAGGGACTTTGCCCATTGTGCTGTAACCAGCGTGGTGTACCCACCTACAGTTGACTTGCGAGCTGCCTAGGTCACCTTGGAATGAGAATTCAATTTGGAAACAATCATACCTGACTTCCAAACAGGCAGTAGGAGGACTGGTGGGCAGGACAAGAACCTGGTATGCAAATCTTTAAAAGTGCCAACAGCAGAGGGCAGTGAAGAGGCGACTTAATCTTTGAGGAGGGAAGTCCAGTGGTTAGGACTCTCAGGAGCCTTTGGGAAGGAGGGTGCTGGGAAGGGAAGAGTTGCTTTAAGGCTTTTCTACTTCACGGACTAAGAATTTACTCTTCTGGTTCTCCCTAGCTCTTGATAACTTCGGGGAAATATGAGTTTTTGTTTTTTGTTTTTTTTTTAAATGCCTTCTTCCGCGGGTCCAGGACAGTTTGCACACGAACTCTCCCAACAGTGCTGAAGACAATGCCACGCCTTTAAAAGAGGGGTTGTTTCGGGGGCTCCAGAATCTCTGGGAAAGGGTTCAAACAATAGGTCAAACGATAATTCCAGACTTCTCCCAGAAAGGGAATATTATCTGCGACATTCGGCAGGCGTCTGTTGTAGTTGAAACCCTGGGTGGAGGAAACAGCGCCCGGAGGCTGCCCGGAGGCTGCCCAGAGGCTCCCTTGCGTGTGCCCAGCCTCTCACAGCAGGTCCCAGCTGCCCCGAGGCTGCCGCTGGCGGGAAGCCTAGGACGCAGCGGGACAGCTGCAGCCTGATTCACAGCTCGGTGGTGGCTTTTCCCTTCTTTTCTTCTTTCTTCCCCCCCTACAGAAGTCAGTCCACCCCCTCCCTTTGCCCCACGCCTCCACAGCAGGATCCTCCCACTCCGGCGCCTAAAGCGTTAACCCTGGAGCGTCCAGGCACCCCTACCACTCGCGCCCCAGGGTTCCTAAAAAGGAAAGGTACAAGGTTGGTTCACATGAGAGACTTGACAGATCAAAGGCAGGGCATACTTCCTGTTGCCCAGACCTTATATAAAACGTCATGATCGCCTCGGCTGCAGAGGCGCACCTAAGCACTGACCCAGCGGCTGCAGCCTGAGGTTTCCCCGAGGACCACAATGAACAAGTGGCTGTGCTGCTCACTCCTGGTGGTAAGTCGTGGGCAGAAAGCTGCTGGCCACCTGGGTTCGGGAACTCCTCCCGGCTGTTGGGGACCAAGCCGGGCTCTCTCCAAACCCCTTTTTCTAGCTATACAAGGCTGCTCTGGAGGATGAGTGGCTTTGCCGTGAAAAGTTCCTGCTGAGTTTATGCGGAGGGGAGAGAGAGACAGCAGGAGGAGACTAAGACTTTTTGTTTGGTTTTACCCATTTTATTTCACTTATTTATTTGCTTACTTATATTTTGTATGGTGCATCACGCCTCTTCTTGACCTGACTTTCCTATGACTGCAGGTGAAGCGGACTGTATGTTGGAAAGAAAGGGCAGACTTTTTGAAACTTGTGTAGAACAGTTTGGATGGGGGTGGGGTGGGGGTATAGTCTGGTGCATCACTAGGCTGACTTACATAGGCATTTTGGGCATTAGAGAAAATATTCTCTCATTTAATTGTGCAATTTAATATTTTAATAAAGTTTCATTATTCTAGTTCTCAATGCCAATATAGTATGAAAATATTAATAGGCTGATAATAGTTAAATAACCAGATCAAGTTCAACCCTAAATAGGGCTCAAACCTAGTTTGAAATGCTATTTGGAAAATAAAGGAATCTCTTTAATGTAGTATATGTCCTTCCTTCCTCCTTTTCTTCTTTAAAAAACCTTTCAACTTAGGCTTTTGGAAAATTGTTGTTAAAGTTTATGTAGAAGTTTTTCTGTGCCAAAAATCTTTTCCCTTTACATCAGTAGAGTGTGAAACGCACAGGCAGTTACAATTCAGACAGAGAAGTCTGTCTTTAAGGACTGTTTGTGTCTGGGATGCACTAGAGTCAGTGTTTGAATTTCAACCCCTAACTCACACAGTGTGAGTGGAAAGCTGTATTATCTTCCCCTTAGCTCCAGGGACACAAGAGACACAAAGTCACTCAGGAAAAGGTGGGCAGGGGACTACACACGAGTATGTTAACTACATGTGTACATATGCAGATATGTATGCGTACGCAATGCATATAGCCACTAGTTTGGACACATGGAGAATTTTGAAAATTTTATTTATTTTTAGGTATATATATATAGTTTGCTTGTATGTATGTCTGCGCACCATTTGTGTGTCTGGGGCTGATTGAGGCCAGAAGAGGGCATCAAGTCCTCTAGAACTGGAGTTCCAGACATTTGTGAGCTGCCACATGGGTGCTGGGAATAGAACCCAGGTCTTCTGGAGGAGCAGTAAGTTCTCTTACCTGCTGAGCCATCTCTCCAGTTACACTTGGGAGAACTTTTTAAGAAGTGAAATGTTTTGGGAACAGTGAGATGGGTCAGTGGGTAAAGGCACTGACAACCTAAAAACACAAGTTCAGTCCTTGGATCCCTGTGTGGGAGGAGAGAACTGGCTCCTGAAAGATGTCCTCTGATCTCCTCTCACACTCCCCGGCACGTGTGCACCTGCACTAACACACACAACAAGTAAACGGAAGTATCAAAAGAGGAAAGAAGACCCGAGAACTTGTACAACTGGTAGTGCCTACATACATTTGCCAAACTGAGCACTAATGAGTTGGCAGAAAGATCCACAAATACATTATCAGCACCACCACCCCCAAAGGTCCCGGTTTCCCTCCCTTTTACTGCTATGTTCAGACCCAGACTAACCAACACCAGAAATAGGTTTTGCTTGTACTTAAAGTTTATATATGGATTTTATGTATTTTTCACATTGGCTCCTTTCAAAATTCTGCTCAGAGATTCATCACTGTTCCAATAATTCTTCCCAAATAGTAAAAAGGTAATTATTTTATAGATGGTTTATATAAGGAGATATGTGCATAGATGATACTAATTTTAGATAATATAACATCAGAAGAAAAAACCTGGAATAAATAAATACATAAATGAATAGGAAGGGCCTTGCTCTTTCTTTAATTGCTGAGATTGATTGTATTTTATGAATGGTGGGAAATGGACATATTGTACTTGCATGCAAAGAGGCTAAGTTCCCCTTAGTAAAAAGAGAGGCCTGACTGTAGGAACCAGAGGTGCTACAGATATCTAGTTCTTTGTGTGAAGCATCCCACTAGATAGATACTGGGAACAAAGTGAGTAGCCAGGTAGACATCCTTCCTGCCTTCTGGACCTAACAGCCTATTGGAAGAGGCAGATGTGGGTCGTGTATTACATATGTAATAACAGTTACAAAACAGGAAGCCCCAGATGACTGGGAAATTTAAAAAACAAAAACAAAATCAAAAACAAAATAACCTCCTATGAGCTCATAAGGGAAGCTGCAGCACGGTGGTTCTCCACTAGACCCAGTTCAAATGCCCACACACCATTTGCCTGAGGAACAACAGTGGCTGTGTTTCTTCCCTCTGGAGTTCCTCTCTTCTACAGCCTGGGATAAGCATCCATTAATACAACCACTCTGAAGTCTCCGTTTGTCATTAGCACTACCTGTGTGGTAACAGTTAGCTAAAGGGTGCTCTAGAACCATCTATGTATAAGACGTACACTCTGACGATACACAGAGGAGGAAGGGACGGCCTCTTAATCTCACCTTGAGGGATTAATGGGGTATACTATTGCTGGAGATGAAATCAAGACATCCAAGCGAGAGATGGAAAACCACGTAACAAAGTATATTCCACATTCTTCCGTGAGAGTAGAAGATAGGCTGGTAGTCAGGATAGGTCCATGGTTGAGGACATTCCTAGAATGCTCACGAGCACAGACAAGCAGTGAGCTGTTCTGCAAGGAGAGATTATTCATCATACCAAGTCACTTCCTTCTTGGTTGCCATGAGTTACTAGGAGAGCAGAGAACATCAACAAGCCTGGCTTAGGTCTAGGCTTTAGCTGTGGTTAGAACTTCCCATCATCCATCATGCAATGTCAGAACCCGCCCTGAACTTCTCAAAGCCAAGCTCTGAATTCATCCTTTCATGACAGAAGGGAGTGGAAGGGGAGAGGAGAGGCAGCTGCTCCTTGCTCAGGAAAACTGCCTGATGTTTCTGTTCTTCCTTTAGGGTAACGCTCTTGGAGTTTCTGACTTTCGGTTTGTATTTTGTCTTTCCTCCCCTTTCCCCAGTGGCTAAGTCCATAAACTTGCCTACCTTTTTTTTTTCTTTTCTTTTGAGAATGTGGATGGTCCAAAGGTTTCTAGAAGCATCTGATAAACCCAACTCCACGCAGGCAGCCCTGCCCAGTATCCTGTCCCGTGTCCATAGCAACCTTCCTGGCCTCCGTCACCTAGCAATCTTCAGCGCAGTTCCTAATTTCAATCTAGGTTTAACTTTTACTTAGGTTAAAAACCACAGTTGCTGAATACCACTGGTGGAAGAAGAAGGCAGTCTGTGCCAGACGTTTTGTTCAGAAAGTTCTAGAAGCTATGGTCATGTTTTCCAAAGAGACACTAAGCTCACAGTCTGCTTTCTTTCTTTCCTGTTCACTAACTTGCCTTTCGGGTTTTGCTCTCTACAGTTCCCAGCCCACATGCTCCCTCTGCATAAAGGCTTTCTGTGAAAAACACTATTTTCCTTAGCATGGCATTGGCCAAGAGAATTTCCTTCAGCCTTAATTTGTACTTTGCAGCCAGGGGGTAGAGGAGGTGGGGAAGTGGAGTGGGGCACGGGGGGTGGGGGTGCTTAAGGTACATAAAAACAAAACAAAACAAAAAAATATATGTCTTTCAAAGCCTGGACTAACAGTGTTTGGCTGCCCCTTATGTTGCTCTGATGGAGCAAAGTTGCCAAAACTATCAGTGTTTTACTGAAAATTATTTGTGTTTTACTCCCTATAGGGCAGAGCTCTCAATTATATTCGATTTGATTTTCTCTTCCCTGCACTTTTACAGTAAATCCTTTGAAACAACCTCCATGTCTCTTGAAATGAAATCTGGTGTACATATATTTTGCCTACACATATAATGTTTATAAAATCAACATCCTGGCATAACTATACTGTAAAACAGTAATAGAAGGAAAGTGATTTATAATAAAACAAGCTTCAGTAGAAGGCATAATGAAGTCATGATATGTTGGCATTTTTACGTGGTATTGTTACCGCAGTCACGCAGCTAGGAATGAAGCGGGGGCCAGGGCAGGTATGTCTCAGTGGTGACCCAGAAGCTTGATCAGGCTTGGCTTTGGCGCTCTGGATTTCTAAAATGGTGAGCCAATCTTGCTGGACATTTTAATTTCATTTCATTTCTTACCAAAGTGTGTGTTACCGAATTCCTGGAAAATCCACTATGGGCAACAATGATGAAAAAGTACTTCCTGTATAAACAATATGGAATCCCGATACAGTTCCGGATGACGGCCATCATTTGACTTCTGTGGCTGTGATAAAATGCCTTAACAAAAAGCAACACAGGGGAAAAGGGCTCATTTGGCTTACAATCCCAGGGTGCAGTCTATCATAGCAGGGAATTCAGCTAATCACATCCACAGTCAGGAGTAGAGAGAAATGGATGCATGCACACTGGCTTGCTTGCTCATGCTCAGCTCTGTTTCCAGACTTACATATAGGAACATACAGGAACCCTGCCGAGGGGGTGGTGACATCCACATTCAGAATGAGTCTTCGTACTTCAGTTAGACCAAACAAGGATATTCCTCACAGTCATGCCCACAATCCACAGTCCAGTCACACCCAGGCGGTGCTCCATTGAGACACCAGGTGATTCTACATGGTGTCAAGTGGACAATTAAAGCTAAATGTCACAGTGATGTATATATATACATGTATGATTTTTACTTAGTTTGTTATTCATTAGCTGCCAACAGGGCATCTGAAGACTTGTAGGGCATATAATTGTTCTTGATTCTTCTGGATACCTAATATCAACTGTCATGACATCCTTAGAAACACTCCCATCAATTTCCACCCCTCCTCCAAGGAAAGAATGGTAAACAAAGCATGGGCTCCCTGCAAGCACAGATTTTCATCTTCCTCATTTGTACCCACAAGGTTTCCATCATCATGATGCACGTGTTTGCTGAGTCAAATGGACTATGGTGAAATTTTCAGAGTACTGGGTAATCTATCAGAAATCTCCATGGATGTTCCAAGAGAGTTTACCTACCTAATGTGTGATTGTGGTTTAACCTCCTACAGTTGGCTTGACTATCTTTCAAAGTATTAATCTAACCCTCTACTTATCTGGCCAATATTTTAAATATCACTGTGTACATTTCTACTATGGAAGCTCAGAACCTTCATGAAAGCTCTTTCTTAGGAAAGCAACACAATTAACTGGATTTATAGACCATTGGAGTTGCAGTGTGAGCAGAGCTGGATAGCTTTCTGAGCTCCCCATACTGCTGGAGGGCTGCTGTCTACTGGCCAGAGAACACAGGGCTCGTGGTATTAAACTGAACCATTAGATAGTCAGTTTTTCCCTGATACATTTAAAATGTTTTTTTAAAAAGATTCAAAAACAGTTCCTGAGGATTAGACTCAAGAAATTTCAGCCCTTGGAAGGAGCCTAGACTTGAGATAAAAATAATATTAACAACCCAGGTCGTTACCCCAGAGAAGCAAAGAGAAAGCTGATTTCACATGGCCAAGAGAGGAAAGGGTAAGGCACCATTCAGACTCATTTCTAATAAGGAGAGTCTTGCAAACAAAATGCAAACAAGAGCAGCAGTAGCAACCATGTTTAGAAAAGAAAACAAAGATCAAAATAAAATTTAGCAACCCATAATAGCCGGAACTAGTGAATCGGAAATCCTAGCAAGAGCTCTAAACTATCTGTGCAAGAAGAAAGAGTGAGGTTCGGCCAACTTGAAATAGATACAAGGACAGTATTTTTATGTGACATATAATTAGTTTTTGGAACTCATTACCACAGAATATTTTGGAATAACTAGCACAGAAAGTCTAAAAAAGGAATACGTTTAGACAGTTGTAAGGGATAAGAATAGTGTTACAACACATTAGGTAAGAAGCTGTGTGGTGCCCCCCCCCCAACACTCATGTGACCTCTGTAAGTGATGTGCGCTCTACAGGCACAGTAGAATAGTTTACCCTACTATAAGGTGACACAATAGCCCAAGGGCTTGGATAGATACATTTTTCATGTGATTTCTCACAAGCATCTGAGTCGGCAGACAGTACATTGATAGGGAATGTACAAGGAGGGCGAGATCTCAGTGAGGAAAGTCCTCACCATGAAAGCACAAGGACCAGAGTTTGAATCCCCAGAACCTAGTGACAAGTGGGTGTGGTGCCCACACGTAATTTCTGTGCTCGCAAGGTGAGATGGGAGCCTCAGAACAAGTTGGCTAGCCAGATAAACCAAGACACCAAGCTGTGAATTAAGCTGAGAGATTCTGCATCAATGGATAACAAGGAGAGCTACCAAAGAAACATCCAACTTCAACCTCAGGCCTCTGCATACATGTATACATACATATGCACACGCACATAGGTCTATATACATACAAGTACATATACATACATGCGCATACTATACATACATACACATGAAAAAGAAGAAAGAAAACATACATATAAAAGAGAGAGTGCAGTTTCTAAACTAAAGCTAGTTATATGTCCATCTGCTCTCCTAAGCACATCTGTGTTGGAGAACATGTAAGACCTACTGTCTGAACAAATTTCAAAAGCACAGTGCAGCAATTGGTATTTGTTGCATCATAGAGGTCTCTAGATTGTTCTCACCTGACTGAAACTTGAGGTCCCTGGATTAGAACCCCACCGTGTTCTGCCCCTGGTAATTAACATTCTCCTCACAGTGGGAGTGCACCATCTTGGAAAATAAAATTACTAGCCACCAGGCCTTCGCTTCACCTCATCCTGTGCCTTGGCAACACTCTCTGCAAATGTTTCTTAACTAACCATAAAATAGAGCAGAGGAATCCGTGAGAGGACTAAGTCAGACATAAAACAAGGCAGCTCCTCTGAGCATACTCACTGCCTTTGGTCATTAACTTTCCTATTGGGGTTTTTGATTAAAAATAAAAAAAAATCTTAGTTGCCTTGCCATACTTCTTGTTAGGTAGCTGCTCTGTTGTCCCGTGTCCTTGTTCATTCTCTGCTTCCTGTTTTCCTCTTACCTTTGTTCTTGCTTGTGGCTTTGTTTTGTCCGTATTCTTTTCTGGGTCTCTGTCTTCTTCTTCATAGTCTCCACTTCATCGTGCTCCCAATCCTGACTTTACCCTTGTCCTCTCCTGATTTCACTCTTCCCACCATCTTGGGCTTCTACTCAGTTTTGTTATTTTCTGGTTCAAATGTGTCTCTTTTTTAAAATTCTTTTCTTGTTTAAAACTTAGGTATTTTATCCTTAGACAATGTTAGGATCAAGAGTCTGTTCCTTATAATATCTCCTCCCCATCAATTTGCATAACCTGGGCATTCAGATGCAGAGTGGTGTGACAGCACTCTGCAATAGTAAGGCTGGCAGGACGAAAGGGCCCTTACTTCTGCCTTTACCTTTAAGGTTTAGCCAGGGACCCCATTTATGCCTCTGCAAAATTGAGGCGCTGAGCCAGGTGATACACGGAATATTTACTCTAATTCCCAAGTTTTGTCATCTGAGATTTGGTTTTAAAGAATCGATTATATATTGTTGTCTAGCCCAAATATCAAAAACCAAATAGACTTGTCTATCTATGAAACAATACAGGGATATTTTGCAATAATCTCTTTTGTTGTGATGGTTAAAAGTTTCTATTTGCTCCATGGGTCATACATAAGAAATCAAGAAATTCTGCTGAAGTCAAGGAAATCATCCAAGAAGCAGCTTTTGAAATGCTATCTAACTTTAGAAAGCATAACATGTACTGGAGGGTCATAAATTATTCTTGAAACCAAAACCATTCACATTTTCTCATTCTTGTCATCAGCTGGTATACATAGAAAATGGCAATGTGGGTTTTTTTTTTTTTTTTCATTCTTCATTTAGTTAAAAGCCAAGTTCAAGACATTCCCCCAGGACTTACTGAAGAGGTGTAATTATGGTCACAAGCAATCTCCTTAGAGTCATTGAGTAAAATTTTCTTTGAATCTATATTCACAAAGAAGTACTTGACAACTGCACACTGCTCTTTGGAATAAATGTCAAACCTTCAGGCATTCTAAGCATGGTAATAGGCAGCCCAGCAAGACCATTAAATCTACACTTGAATAATACACCAGCTGACAGACAGCAGATCTCTATCCCCACACTCGGCTTCTTGTATCTTCTTTTAACGTCCAGTAAAAAGGAAGAAATAAAAAAAATAACTGGTCTGTAAAGATGTGAGTGATGTTTACTGTGTTTATTGTGTAATGGTATAGTCATTAGTGTTCTTTTTTTCCCCCTAAGGATTCTCAGTTTTTCTCGCTTCCAAAATTTGATAGAAAGTTCCAGTCTAATGAGGATGGAATGGGAGGGGAATATGGGCACTTCAGGTGGAGACTGGTGAATTAAAATGATCCTTTCACTTCCAAGCCAAGCATCTTATTGCTAATGGTGCACACTAAATTTTCTGTAGTTTTTGATTTTT